GTGTGGACAAGAATACCAACCTTGCTACCAATCAAAATGAAGCCTCTAATAGCGAGTGCCATATAAAGTGCACTAACCAAATAGGTGGTAAGACAATAGGGGAACTCAGGCACCACACAGGTTATGTAGAAAGGAAACACAGGGCCACCCACAAAGGACTCAAATGTTTATACACCAATGCACAAAGTATGAACAGCAAACAGGGTGAACTAGAAATTCAGGTTAATGAGGGCAGATACGATATTGTTGCCATTACGGAAACATGGTGGGATGAAACTCACACATGGAACACACAGCTAGAGGGATTTAAATTATTTAAAAGAAACAGACCAAATAAAAGAGGAGGTGGAGTTGCTCTCTATATAAGAAATAACTACATCTTCACAGAAATAGAGTACAACAATGATAAAAACTGTCTTGAATGCATTTGGGTCAATATAAAAGGGGGGGGGAATGACATTGCCATAGGTGTATACTACAGACCACCCAACCAAACAGAGGAAATAGATGAACTTTTTGCTAGTCAGCTAACTAAGGTATGTAGGAAGCACATCACAATAGTAATGGGGGACTTTAACTACCCTGACATCAACTGGGAGACAAACTCCGCACCAAGTGGAAGATCAAACAGGTTCCTGGCAAACCTAGCAGACAACTTTGTCTCCCAAAAAGTAGAGAATGGAACTAGGGGATTAGCCATTTTGGATCTAATTCTCACTAACAGAGATGAAATGATAGACGGTGTTGGAGCCATAGGAACCCTGGGAGGAAGTGATCATGCAATATTAGAATTCAACATTATAGAAGCACAACCAATAGAACACAGTCAAACTAGAGTCTTGGACTTCAAGAGAGCTAATTTCAATAAACTTAGAGAGGGCTTGGGAAGGATTCCATGGATGAGAATCCTCAAGGGGAAAACAACTCAAGAAGCTTGGGAAATTTTGAAAAATGAGATAATAAAAGCACAGTCTAGCACAATACCAACAAAGAGGAAAAACAACAGCTCTCAAAAGAAACCAGCATGGCTGCATAAAGAACTCTCTGACAAATTGAAAGATAAAAAGGACAAGTATAGAAAGTGGAAAGAGGGGAACATAACTAAGTCAGAATATCAGCAAATAGCCCGAGCCTGCAAAGATGAAGTGAAGAAAGCCAAGGCTCAAAATGAACTGAGGCTTGCGACCAAAGTCAAAAATAACAAAAAAAGCTTCTTTCAACATGTAAAAAACAAGAAAAAAGTGAAGGAAATGATTGGTCCATTAGTGGGTGGAAGTGGCAAGAAGGTGACAAGCAACAGGGAGAAAGCAGAACTATTTAACTCATTTTTTGCATCTGTCTTTACACAAAGGGAAAAAACAGACCAACCTATCAAAAATAGTGCCACAAAAAACAAAACAGAAACACAAGTTAAGATAGGCAAGAAAATCGTTAGTGAGCACCTGTCCAGCCTAGATGAGTTCAAATCGCCAGGACCAGACGGATTACACCCCAGAGTTCTCAAGGAACTGGCAGATGTGATATCGGAGCCACTGAACTATATTTTTCAAAGATCCTGGAACACAGGGGAACTACCAGAGGACTGGAAAAGAGCTGATGTAGTTCCCATCCTCAAAAAAGGAAAAAAAATGGATCCAGGAAATTACAGACCTATCAGCCTGACCTCAATACCTGGGAAGATCCTGGAAAAGATAATCAAACAACGAATCAACGAACACCTAGAGGCAAACAAAGTCATTACTAAAAGCCAACATGGGTTTGTCAAAAATAGATCATGCCAGACAAATCTTATTGCATTCTTTGACCAAGTGACAAAATTAGTGGATCAGAGGAATGCTGTGGACATAATTTACTTGGACTTCAGTAAGGCATTTGATAAAGTAGATCACAACCTACTACTTGACAAGATAGAAAAATGTGGGGTAGACAGAACCACCACCAGATGGATCCGTAGCTGGCTGACCGGCCGTACTCAGCGAGTGGTCCTCAATGGAACTGCATCTATATGGAGGGAAGTGTGTAGTGGGGTGCCCCAGGGCTCTGTTCTGGGCCCAGTACTCTTCAACATCTTCATCAACGATTTGGATGAAGGGATAGATGGGGAACTCATCAAATTTGCAGATGACACCAAGCTGGCAGGAATAGCCAACACTCCAGAAGACAGGCTTCAGATACAGAAGGATCTGGACAGACTTGAACACTGGGCACTAACTAACAAAATGAAATTCAATGGTGAAAAAAGCAAGGTTCTACATTTAGGCAAGAAAAACCAAATGCACAAGTACAGCATAGGTGGCACCATGCTCAATAGTAGTAACTGTGAGAGGGACCTCGGAGTCCTAGTAGACAATCACTTAAATATGAGCCAGCAGTGTGCTGCAGCTGCCAAAAAGGCCAACACAGTGCTAGGCTGCATTAACAGAGGGATAGAATCAAGATCACGTGAAGTATTAATACCACTCTTCAATGCCTTGGTAAGGCCACACTTGGAATACTGCATCCAGTTTTGGTCACCACGATGTAAAAAAGATGTTGAGACTCTAGAAAGAGTACAGAGAAGAGCAACAAAGATGATTAGGGGACTGGAGGCTAAAACATATAAGGAACGGTTGCGAGAATTGGGTATGTCTAGTTTAACGAAGAGAAGGACAAGGGGGGACATGATAGCAGTATTCCAATATCTCAGGGGCTGCCATAAAGAAGAGGGAATTAAGCTATTTTCCAAAGCACCTGAAGGCAGGACAAGAAGCAACGGTGGAAACTCATCAAGGAGAGAAGCAACCTAGAACTAAGGAGAAACTTCCTGACAGTGAGAACAATTAATCAGTGGAACAGCTGCCTCCAGAAGCAGTAAATGCTCCAACACTGGAAGTTTTTAAGAAGAGACTGGACAGCCATTTGTCCGAAATAGCGTAGGGTTTCCTGCCCGAGCAGGGGGTTGGACTAGATGACCTCCAAGGTCCCTTCCAACTTTACTACTATTACTATTATATATATATATATATATATATATATATATATATATATATATATATATATATATATATATATATATGTAATTAATAATACAAGTAAAAATTTGACTCTTGGGAATTTCCATTTTTTATTAAAATAATGATCACCAAGAGAAATTTAAGAAATAAAAGTTTAATCAACCAAGCTTTCGTCAAATATACTTGACATCATCAGGGTTAAAAGGTAGATGCTGAAAGAAATCTTACATATAGTTGTTAGATAGGCATTTAACAACTATATGTAAGATTTCTTTCAGCATCTGCCTTTTAACCCTGATGATGTCAAGTGTATTTGACGAAAGCTTGGTTGATTAAACTTTTATTTCTTAAATTTCTCTTGGTGATCATTATTTTAATAAAAAATATCTATCTGTGGTGTGTAAATTTCAGCCTTGCTGAAGATTAATGCTTTAACTGATAGGTTGTACAGGTAGTCCTAGACTTACAACCACAGTTGAGCCCAAAATTTCTGCTGCTAAGTGAAACAGTTGTTAAGTGAACGTTGCCCCATTTTACAACCTTTCTTAACAACTTTCTTCACAGCTGTTAAGTGAATCACTGCAGGGGTTAAGTTAGCAACACGGTTATCAAATGAGTCCGGCTTCCCTATTGACTTTGCTTGCCAGAAGATCGCAAAAGGGGATCCCATGACCCCGGGACACTGCGATCGTCATAAATACGAGTCAGTTGCCAAATGTCTAAATTCTCATCATATGGCCATGGGGATGCTGTAATGGTCATGGGTGTGAAAAACGGTCATAAGTCACTTTTTTCAGTGATGTTTTAATTTTGAACAGTCACTAAATGAACTGTTGTAAGTCAAGGACTAGCTGTATTGAAACTGATTTTGAGTGTTTGCTTAAAAGGGTCTGCTTAAAGCTGCAGTTTCTTCATTTACGCTTTGCCTCTTGGAATTAACTATGAACTGTGTTATTCCGCTAGAACAGAATGACATGCCTTTTAGGGAATCAGTATCACTTTACCACCTTTTTATTCCATTTATTTATTTGGTTTTGTGTCATATATTTCCTGTAATGGAAGTGTTAATTTTACTGTATTTTTGCTACCATTTTGGAATCTAATGTATTCTAAAGTATTTTACATGTGCTCTGATTCACCATGATATAGATATTGTGATGTTTCACTTAGCAACTACGTTGTCAGTCCCAATTGTTATCACTACACAAAACTATTTATCTGGCTCTTTCTCCAGGCTCTGAGCTAGGGTGAGATGCAGGCTGTCTATATAAGGGGCTTTATATAAGCCACCAGGATTAACATGAATGGAATGGAATGGAATAGAATAGAATAGAATAGAATAGAATAGAATAGAATAGAATAGAATAGAATAGAATAGAATAGAATAAGCTTATTACACCAGTATTAACATCTTTTTCCATTTGTGATGGTTTTTTACACCTTTGTTTTTAATTTTGTACACTGCCCAGAGTCATTGACAAGTTACTGGCCTAAGAATGTGAATAATATACTGTATAAAAAATAAACACAAATAGACAAATAACTCAAAGAGAACATGTTAAAAAGTGTCCATTGTGCTATACATTTTAGTCTCATTCCAATTTTAGTGGAACACACAAGTATGCATTTAATTGTTATGTTGAAACTAATTGTACTTATATGTTCTAATTTTTCCTTATTGCTATAGAACACATATATTTGTAAAAAAAAATTGCAACCGTTATAAACTATCAACAAAAAACTCATATTTACTATTGCGTATTTACTTATTTGTAAATAAGTAAATAAGTCATTATTTATCCCCAATAACAAAAAGCAAAATGTGGATGAGTCCAAGTGGGGAGAAAAAAAATAGACGAAATGATGCTGATGCCGTTCATTGTGCAAAAGATGAGCAATAAAATCATCAGCGTACAAATGATTTTTTAATTAGCTTTTAATCTGTGTATTTAGGGAAGTTATTTCTGTGTGAATTCCATTCCGATAATTTTTATCTTGGTGTCACAGCTGCAGTCACTAATGGCAGATGCCATGGACACCCTCGAAGGAAGGAAAAGTGGTAAAGAACGTGTCTGGAATAAAATTCAAAAGGTAAAAAAGCCACGTTGGAGACTAAGTGGAGAGAGCAGATGCTAAGAAGTTAAGGTTTGTCAAGGGGTGATATCAGTTCTTGAGGGTGATGAAAAATTGGTTTCATTTCCAAAGTATTTCAAAATTTTAGCCTTGGCCAATTCATGCCCTGCTTATTTTGAAAAAAAGTTTCATTCTTTGTATTTGCACATTCCATATGAAGGCAGGCTGATTAAGGCTATTGAGGAATGTGTGCTTTGAGCAAGCTGCAAACAATAATGTTCCAAAATGCTTTGTAACTGCACAATCACAAAGCAAGGAAGAAAGCTAAGTAACATTACAACATTGACTACATTTAGATACAAACAAACCTAGTTTCCTGCTGAGTTTGCAGCCTAGATCTAAGATACAAATGGGAAGGTTTGGGGTTTACATTAACCCCTATGGTTACATCAGGTACAGGCAAGCAGATCCACAGCTGAGGGCTCAAGCTGACTACTTTATTATATTCCAACTGATAATACAGGTAGTTCTTGACTTACGATCACAACTGTTGTTAAATGAAACACTACAGTTGTTAAGTTAATAACACAGTTGTTAAGTGAATCTGGCTTTCCCATTGACTTTGCTTGTTGGAAGTTTGCAAAAGGTGATCACATGATCCCGGGATAGTGCAACCATCATAAATATGAGTCAGTTGCCAAGCATCTCAATTCTGATTATGTGACCATGGGGATGCTGCAATGGTCATAAGTATGAAAAACGGTCATAAGTCACTTTTTGAGTGCCGTTGTTACTTTGAATAGTCACTGAATAAACTGTTGTAAGTTGAGGACTATCTCTACAAGAATCTCCCCAGACTGCTTGCCTTTTCTTGGGAGAAAAACAGATACAGTTTGGGGACAGGTGTTAGTCCTAATTCTCTTGAAGCTGCAAAAAACCCAAGGCTAATTCCCCACTTTACCCCTCCTCCTTTCCTGACTGGCAGTTTCCCAACAGGTTCTCTGTGCATTTGACTCTAAATTGTGGTTTGTTTTTATAAAGACAAATGAGAACATGTCAGTTTGATCATCTATATTTTGAACTTTACTAATCATGGTTAAACTTGCGCACCAAACAATTGCTTAGCATACAGTTCAGACCAGCTAGCTATCTGACACGCTAAAGGAGAAAAAATGGTAATCCATAATATGCTGTGAATATTATGGCTTCCCTACCAAAAATGATAAAAGAATATACTAGAATAAAAAGAAAGCAGGAATTTTGTGAAAGTCCACAAAAGAGGACGTGGAAATGTATCAAGTTTTCAAAGGGTGAGAGGATTGGTTTTTTTAATTTATTTTTACAGTTTCCCCAAGTATATGTTTGTTTAGATTTCAGGTGCATATTTAAAAATACAGTACAGAAAGTACTGATTCATATGGCATTAAGGTAGGATGTATAGACTATAACTTCAAACAGGTGTGGGCTGATGTCAGGGACTGTGGGGTATGAAACTGGAAAAGATGAATACATCTTTATGTATCATCTAATTGCGGATGGAAAGGCATCTCAGACCTAGATAAGTAAAGAGAGGGGTGTTCCTCTATCAGAAATGTGCCCCTCTCTGTTTTGGATCTGGAATTAGCTGTGAACTAAGAGCAGGGGAGGATTGCTGGCAAGTATCATTTGATGTTTCGCAGGTGACCAAAATGGTGTTTCACAGATAACTGGATACAAAGCTTTCTTTCTGAAATCAAGGATCAAATTGGGACTCCTGCTGCTATACTGGGCTCCCTGTTGCACAGTGGCATTCCTGAGGTACTTGAATTCACCACCAGTTAGATGATGATGTTTCCCACTTTATAAGGCTGGGAATCCATATCCATCTGCGCTAGACCCAGGTTATTGAGGATCAAAACATTGAGGATCACACATTCAACCTATTTTTGTCTCAGAACTGATACAATGTGATCTGAAGTAGAGAACCTTAACATTTATCCTTTGCCGTGGTGAGACCACTCATATCTATGAAGCTAACCAGTGCCACCAATCTCCAGAGGAAACCAAATGGATGGGGCTTTCACAGATAGCTAATGCATCTACTTGGTTGAATGCCTAAAGAATTCCATGGACCTGGTAGACAGTTCTGTCAAGACTATGATCAATCTTTGTCATATGGAGGCAACTGGGCTTTTCATAGGGTTGTGCCTGAGTGATTTCTCTTTCTCTCTCCACCAAGCCAAGATTACTTCTGCTTTTTTGATGAGCTCTGGGAGATGAAGCAATATAGGAGATTCCTAGATACTGATAAAAGACAAAGAGCAATTATGACTCATGGGTAAAAGCTCAGATCTGAGTCTACATTGTGCAGAAAAAGTAGCAACATTTCCCCGCTTTTATTCTTCCAAAGAAACAAATTGCTGACTAGGAGCCCTTTGTAGTGTAACCTGGATGCTTTTAGGGAAGGATAGGGTAAACCAGCATGTAATAGGTTGCTCTGATAAATTTCTTTGGTATCTGGAAAGAAAGTCACTCAGGGATGGGGTTTTTTGGGGGGGGAGGGGGAAATCTCATAGAATTGACAAAGTCTACTTCTCTGTGACATCAGCTCTGCTACTTGCAAGTAACAGGAGGGGAGCTCAGGGGAGTGGTTGGTGCAACCTTGAATGAGGGAGGGTTACACTGACTGCCTTGAAGGAAGCAGTGACAAATCCTACCCCCAGGAGTCAATATCTGACCCAACTGTTTTTGATAACTATTAACTACCCTTCAACCTTTCCTTTGGGAAGAAGGTGGTTGAATAAGTAGAAGGCCTGCATATGGAGGGGGCTCTGATTAAGTGGGTGAATCTGGACCTTATCAATCAGGGCCTGAGCATAGACACCAGATCACACTGATTGCTTTTATGGTGACCTATAGTGGGATTGAGATATATGTATGTGACCTTCATAATTCTGCTAGACCTCTCAGCAGCTTTCAATACTATTGTTTGTGCTATCTTTCTGGACTAGTTTCAAGGGTTAGAAGTGAGAGTTGGTATTTCTTTACACTGATTCTCTTCCTTCCAGACTGAGCAATTTCAGTTGATAGAAAGGAAGAAATCATGTCCGTGGACTCTCTATTTTATATGAGAAAGTACTACTGGTAGCTGTGGCCTGGAGGACTTTTGACCAACTCTCTCTTTTCCAACAGTAACATCCTTTTCTGACTGGAAGGCCTGCTTGTAGTGACACATGGCTTGATCACTTTGATCATTTGAAATTTATTTATTAAATTTATATGCTACCCATCTCACTGTCAAGCAATGGTGGTCAGTGTGGGACCGCCATTAAAGACCACTCAGAAGTTACAGCTGGTCCATCAAGTTGCAGTTAAAGTAACAAAGGCAATAACCTTGCCTTGTGTGAGACCTCTGCTTTGAGAGCTGTACTGGGTGAAGTTCAAGGTGCTGGTTGTAACCTTTAAAACCCTTCATGGTTAAAGACCTGGATATCAGTGAGACTGCCCACTCTTAGCTAGCATTTGCCCATAAGAAGGAAAGACTTGCCAGCATCCCAAACTGTAATGGGCTTTAAAAGTAACCTTGAGGAACAGGAGGAAGAGCTGGAACTAAGACAACACTCAGACAAAAATTTGGATCCAAGATAGAAATGTAATTTGATAAAGCATTTCAGGTTTGACCTTCTCTAGTTCTCTTGTAGATGAAGGGAGAAAGAGGACAGGTACATTGAGATTCTGTTTGAACTTATAAAAGTAGTATTAGCATGTCTAATACATAACTTTGGTTTCTTAATCTGGTTTACCGTGAAGAGTTGACTTGTCTCTACAGTGTCTCATGATGAGAGAACTGTATCAGTGCTGTCTTTTCTGGATTCACAAAGGTTAAAATGGTCCTTACTCTGCTAGGAATCTGGAAGATCATTAAGATCTATTCTAGATGGAATGTTTTTCACTAATTGTTATGGATTTTCCTTGGTATTATATTACTCAATTATGCTAAGTTATGTTTTGAACTTGTTACTATAAATTGAAGTGCAAATGGCTCAGAGTCACTTGCAATTGGAGTGGCACATAACCCTCAGGAAATGAATCAATCCCTGTTAAAGTTTTTGTTGGAAGGAGCTAGGTCTCTAAAACAGAAAAGAGGACGTCTCTGTTTGATTCAAAGGATACTACAAGGCATAAAGAGTGACTTGTTCATTGATATAGAGGCCTTGTTATGGAAACCGGTTTGGCATAAAAGGAAAGCCAGAATAAGATTCAAGAATGTGATTTAAGGTTTTATGTAATGGGTTTAAAAGGCTTATTAGATATGGATTGATTTATGGCTTAAGACAATTAAATAAAAGATTAGATTGAATAAAAATTAATTAAAGGTTTGAACTTAATAATAAGTTGTTTTGTCTATGTATTAATATGTTTTGGATACAGTAACTTTGGGAGGTTAAAGAAATTTGATACAGATATTGTGGGATTGATTGTTAGATTATAAAGAACAATAGAAATAGAAAAGTATTTTTTCTCTTTTCTTTTTTTTGTTTCTGTTTTTTCTTCTTTGTTCTTTTTTTCCCTTTCTGATTTTAACTAATATTTTCTTTTCTTATTAGAATTGATAGTCATTTTGTAATGGAAGAGGAATAAGAAAAAAGAAGAAATGATATTAATAAATATTTATTGAATATGTTAAGGAAAAAGGTTACGGGGAGACTCCCGAAGTGTTAATTAGGTATTTAGATTAGAAATAAGGAATATAGCAAGTGAAATAGTCAAACTTAACACAGGATCTGGATTTGTGGATTTATTTAGATGAAAGATTATTGAGGATTGTTATGATTGATTTAGTTCTATTGAAATACATCAATTTGAATATAATATGTCATTAAAGGGAAAAGAGAGGAGGTTTTTAATAACTTAATCTGAAGTATGTGAGTATGACTTTGTTTTGTGGACAATTGATTGCCCTGCCACCACGTTGTTTCTTAAGCACTTGTTTGTAAAATGAAAAAAACAATAAAACTTGTTTTAAAAAAAAAAGGTTT